TCCCGCCCTCACCGCGCTCCGCCCCGGCCGGGCGGCCTACAGGCGCCGGCCGGCGCCGGCTCCATCTGCCAGGGCGTTTTTAAAAGTCCAGGGGCCGATCCAGGGGGGGCTGAACGGGGCCGAGGGTGCCCTGCCGGTAAGCAGAGAGGTGGGCTCGCCGTGCCGTCCCGCCTCGGAGCGGAGCGGGGGGGGATCCTCTCGCCTCACACCCATCGCTGGGATTGGGATTGGGATTGGGGAGGGGTGGACTAAGCATACCGGGAAATAAACCGGTAAAATGGCAAACCGCGTAAGCCTTTTGCCTTGTCCTGTACCGGTCCTGCCTTCGTGCCGGTGCGGGGAGGGCGGCGTGTCAGCGCCGGGCCTCGGCCCCGCTGCAGCCCAGGGCCGCCTCGGCCCGTTCGCGGCTTGTGCTTCCCTGGGCTGAGGGAGAGGGGTCAAGGACCCCGTTCTCCAGCGGTTTGCTGCTTAAATTAATAGCGTCTTCGCGGGTTTTCTTCCAGGTTACAGTCGTTTCCACTGACCCTTTAGGGTTTACCGCGCGATCGACATCTTCCTCACAGGCAAGCGAGGCTTTGGGGCCTGTACTGGTTAGTGAAGGTAAAGAAGCCAACCCAGCTGCTTAGGTACAGTTGTTTATCAAAGTCAGCATCAGTTAACGACAGAAGGATTGGGTTAGGCTAAACAAAGAGTCCTTCTGAGGCCGCTGAAGGGCTTCGTGAAGGGCTTGTCTGGAAAAAGAGATCTCTGTGGAACTGGGAATCCCGCACAAAAGCGAGGTGCCAGAAGGGATGTGGAATTTGGGGAAAGAAAACTATGAAGGGGTGTTTTATTCCTCTTCTCATCTCTTTTATATTGTCACCCCAGCAGTGTGTCTACCCCAGATAGATGGGAAGGCTGTTTACAGTGGTGACTGTCATTGCAGTCGTGGTGGGATTTCAGGCCCTACTGTGGCACTGTTAGGTCTGTGCTGTGCCGCTCCAGGGAGAAAGCCAGAGCACGTGGCCCAGACAACACTATAACATTAGTCTCTGTAATGCAGGTGAATCCTGGGACAGAGAGAAATCACAGTTGTACCATTAAATGTGGAAAACCCAAACCAACCCCCCCACCAACCTTAATTCTGTGGTTACCAGCTCTCAACAACTTATTGACTTCATATGAAGCCCTGTTTTTGATGGATCGAGTTGTCTTCCTAAATGTTTTTGTTACCATGTTTCTTGTCAGCTTTTTGAGTTATTTTTGTGTTGTGTCCTTAGAAAAAACATTCTCATGTCATCATCAGAGACTTTACAGTGATGGTGTTTTAGTGCCACATGTTATTGGCAGACTTAGCTTCAGTCCTTTAATGCATCAGAAAGATGCAGCATAATCTGTCATAAATAATCCATAATCAGGCTATTTCCTTCATGTTACTGATGTATTCCAGCTGACAGACCCGTGGTCACTTCGTGCAAGCTATTTTAATCATTAGATTATATTGGTTTTTCCATTTGATAAGACTTGAATGAGAGTTGAATTGGTAGACAGGATGGTTTTAGCAAAGAGCTGGCAGATTGTTGTTCTTTAAAGTACAGTTACTGTTCATGGATGTTCTTCAAGTTTGTTAAGTCTCAGTGAATAGAGACTAAACAGTAATTTTAGTAGTTTCCTGGAAGGCTGTTAATTTGCTCTTGTAAAACTTGCACTGGTATGTTAATCTGTTTGATATCTCTTTGATGGTCATTGTGATACCTTTCTGTGTTTACTGTTTGTTTTTTTTAATTCCTTTTCCTTTGCTTCAGGTTGAAAAGATGGGAAATGCAGAAAGCAATGCCTATCAGAATCACCTTTCCAGATTTCTTCCTGAGGAGCAATCTGTCATTGATGGAGTATTTGATACCTTATCAGGATTGAGCGGCTCAGCTGGAGCAAAAAATGGCAAAGGTACAAAGAAAACTGTGACTCTGGCAGCACTACAGGTAAGACAATCTATTATTCCTGATATATCTGTGATGTAGTGCATTGAACATAATTCCAGGAAGAAACAAAAGATGTGGCAATAGTTACTTTTTAAGGATTGCTCGTCTCAATGTAATACTTAATGTTTTGGGGCAGGATAGATATTTAACTTTTTCTTACAGTTTAACATGAGTAGTGACTTTCAGGTTTGTATTTTTCTCTTAAATTGCACTGTTGGGTCAATTTGCAGCTTTTCCAATTCTGAAGTAAGTTGGGACATATGAAAATATTTTTAAAGAAACTTGAAAAATGAGAAGAATATTCTTCCCCCTGGAGTGTGTGATTATTTAGAGATTTTCTTGAGAAGCTGTCACAAATTCAGTTTGTATTTGGTTCTATCTTTCTCCCTCAATTGCATCCCTGTCTCTAATCTTTTCACTTGCATTAGAAGGAGAGAATTCAATTTTACTTGATTAAGCTGTGGCTCCCTGTTTTAGCTAATTAACATACATTATGCTTTCTGATTAACTTTGCATTCATTTTCTAATCAAGAAAGAAGAGGAAAATGATTTGTTGCAATACTTGGTAACTTCAGTTAGGCAGGAACCAAGTGGCCAGATGAATGTAGTATTAAAAGTGTATTTTTTTATATGTTACACAGTTAATGGAATCAAATTAAAACTCAGGGAAAGCAGCAGGCTATTTTAAGGTATTTAGCAATGCATCTGCATACAGACCAGCTTTAGCCTTCCTCCAGCCTGGCTGTTGATGAGCTACCACCAGTTTGGAAACTGTGTTTCTGCTGCCCAGCTTTTCAGCCCTAATAGGTCCAAGAACCTGGTCCTTGGTGTCTGTTATTTGATTGGGACCTGGAAGAAGTTCTCTTTCTAGCTTTGCCCCTAGATCAGTGTGACTTCTGATGAACATTTTTTCTTTTCCCTTCCTGCCTTTTTGTTTGCCAACTTAAATTAAAATCTTTTGAAAGACTGCCTGTAGGTGCCTAATTCCTTAGTGCAGGGACTGTTGCAATGGCATGCTTGCCTTGTAGGTGTCTATGCTCTTGCCTGAGCTAGATTGATATGTGGCAGATTTGATCTAGCAGAAGTCTGGTAACATTGACGAGGCCCCAAACATAACCTCATGTACTCTGCTTAGGCTCAGTGCTTTACTAGAAGGAAACTACATGGCTTCTGGACTAGAGCAGGCTGTGTTGCATAGCTTGGAAAGCAGGTAGAGCAGGTATCTCTAAATACTTTCTTGAAGCCATTTAAGACAAGGATTCTAAACTGTCAGAGGTGTGAGTTTGTTAGATGTTTGTTAAAGTTTCCCTTTTTACAGTCCTTTTTTGCACCCCAGTTCTACTCATTGGAAAAGCTATAAGCATAACAAAACAGTGCAACAAAGTTAGTGGTGGGTGGGAGAGGGTAGGGAGTAGGTAGGTGATACCGCAGTGTGAAGTAAAAAGCCCTTCAGTATGGTGTTTTTAATTATGTTCCCTGTTGCTTGTCTCGCTTCAGGCTCATGCAGCACTTTTAGAAAGCCTCTTAAAGACAGCTGTCCCCCCTGTGACAGTCCCTCCCTCAATATGAAGCACTCTAATGTGCAGGACTGGCTGCTAATTCTGCTTCTACTGAAATCAATGAGAGTTTTACCACTGACGTCAACAAAGCAGGGTAGAGCTTGGCATACTGGATCTTGCCCTATATGCACAGCAACAGCCATTAACATAAAATAGGAGCAGCCCTGGTGGCTTCAATAGGAGTGGTATTGAGCCAGCAATAAATTGGTAATAGCAGCTCCACTGAATACAGCTGGAGTGCTTTTACGCAGGTGGAGCTCCATTGATTTCAGCATAGTCCCCACTGGGCTACACCCCTCTATATGAGTCAAGTCAGGTGTTCAGCATGTTATGCACAGTGCTTTGTGCAGTGAAGACACTGTGTAATCATGTCCTAGTGTATGGATGTATTATAGATTATTTATTTTTAAACAGCGTAATTATCTGAATACTGAAAGTTTCTTGAATTCAGAGTCAGATCTTTCCCACAGTGTTGTGATGTATGATGATGTATACCAGTTAGATTTCAATTCAAAGGGCCAGTCATGTAATTTAGATAAGTAAGTTTTGATTTCGACTGTCCTAACATCAGGGATGCCTTATAAAAATCAGGTGATCTCAGTTTTGCTCCACGCTTGAATTAGATGTTGCTATGCAGAGGGAAACTTCTCAGTATTTTTTCTACATGTGCATGTAGGGTTAAACACATTGCCTGCATTGTCTTGAGGCCAAAGACAATCTCCCCTTGAGATAGGGGAGAAACTTTACTTTCTCTTTGTTTTTAGATATCTGTGAGCTCCACTATCAAAAACAGGGTTAAGGACCGGCAGAGTTATAAACCTTTACAACAGAGTTAATATACAGAAATCCCTTGCTAATATCCTGTAAACACTTTTCAGTGTTGTGTTTTGGTTTTTTTTAAATCCATGGCATTTGTGGAAAAACAATATCAACTTAAATCACTAAATTGTATTGGAAAGGAGATACTGTAAAAATAGAGGGGTTTTTTCTGTTGGAAAACCAGTCCTTTGACAAAAGTTTGTTGCTGCTAGTAGATGCTTGGTATTGAAATCCTTCATTCATAGCAATATATATCAGCACAGATTAGCTGGAATATATTAGTTATTCTTCATTTTTAAAATATGTTCTTTGCTGTTTTTCTCATTGTAGGCGTATATGCGGGAGCCATTACCAGAGCAAATGACTGTTCGGTTATACAACGGAATGAAAAGTATTGACCTGACTGGGAAATCATCTGGGCTGAGTGAACAGATTGCTAAGGAGCAGTTTGTAATTTTTATGTCAAACCTCTTAAAAGGGAATGCAGATGAGAAGATTACCATAATAATGAGAATGATCTCCAAGACAGAAGGGCCTGTGAAGGGCAAACAAATCCAAGAGGTAAACAGGCAAGTTTAAATGTGTGTTGGGGGGACAGTAAGAGAACAGACAGAGACAGAAAGGTAATTTGAAGGTAATCTTTAGAGCACAAAATTCAGAAAAGGGGTTCCTGGCTTTTTTTTTCTCTTTACCACTGACTTGCTGATCTGGGACAAACAGTGTAGGCAAACTGGGTTATATGGGCTGACCATTTCAGCTGTGGGCTTTTCCATGCTGACTTGCCTACTTTGAGAACCAGGATCTGGATTTTGCGAAGCGCACCGACTGTTTCATGGTTCACAGGATCACTATGAAGGGTGCAGAGACTGGCTATATTTAAGAGCCAGCAAGGGTTGTGGTGTGGCTGGTGCTTCTGGGAACTGAGCAAAATGCTTTCTAGAGCTTTAGTTGCAGGATAGATATGTGAATCAAATACATAGCTTGCAAGGTGGAAGTGTGGGATCTCCCAAAACAGTGATTCACTAGCAGCTCCTACCACTGCAAAATTTGGACCTCCCCTCCCTCTTTCATGCCCTATGTTATGGAGATGCTTTGTGAAGTAACATTTACAAAAAGTCTTGAAAAAGGATACTTTTCAAGACCTATGACTTTGAAACAGCATTTCTGTTATTTCTGACTCATCATGAGATGTTTCTGCCATTGGGATTACAGCATCAGTACTACTTGACTTTATTTTCAGAAAGTCCTTTGAAGCTCTTAGCAATTTCATTTAAGAAATGCCAAAATGGTGATGTTTTAACCTTTTAAGTTCACAGAGGATCTGATCATGTCTGTAGTCCATGTACTGAGTTACAGGAAGGAACTGAAAGGTTGGAATTCGGAGAATACTAGGGATTCTGCAAGTGGAGTAAAGGCTCTGGCTTCTCAGCTCCTATCAGAATTGAAGCTTGCAGGTAAGCAGCACTGATGTGGTATATCCCAGAATGGCACAGAGCTCATGTAGTCACTGATCTCTCAAGAATTTTTCTCTTCAGGTCACATATTTGAGTTTAAATGGTGAGACCAATATTTCAAACCTAGTGCTTTGCGAATGACTTGGGAATTTTATTTATTTTACCCTACCATCTTTCTCACTTCAACTCAGGAGAGCTTTGGTTTGAAGTCCCGGTTTAAGTGGACATACAAAACTATTTGTCATGGAACATGCCTATTTTACAAATACCTGACTTGCAGGTGACGGGCATTTAGATGCATATGCATATATTTATGACTGTATGTCCTTTTGCACTGTTGTAATAATAGATTTTGCTGTCTTGCAAAGAACATCTCGTAGGTTGTAATTAGGGGTCCATGTTCATTAATCATGACAGCCCAACCAATGGATGTCACAGGCAAATGTTTCTCAATTCTGTGGATGCATCTGCTTAACGTAGTTGACACTTTACTGTCACCGTCTCCTTTCATATGTGGTCTCATGTCCATTAAAATAATGGAATATTGTGTTTACACTTAAAAATCAACTGATTATTTTCCAGACCAGGAGACTTACTACTGTTTCTGTGTGTTGTCTTATTTAGATGGGACAAAACCTGTGGGTCCTCAGCTGATGGAGACAAATTTTGATCAAAGTGTCATTGAGGATTGGGTGTACAGAGTTCCACAGATCTCAATTTTCCTCAGTGTTGTTATCAGGCAAGGCCTCCATGTTCTGCATTCTCTCCCAGACCAAACCAAAGACATACTCAACCTGGTTCCAGGCTGCAAAGGCATGAAAGGAAGAGGACTTGTCAGTCTCTTTGACATCCCATCTATCATATACATCAACTCCCTTCTGCCTGCAGAGCTACAGCACAAGTGGCAGCTTTTATTTTCTTCTAGGCTTCATGGAGAAAGCTTTTCACAGTTATGTGGGCATATAGTGAACAAAGGTCCTTGTGTAGTGATCTTAAAGGACTTAGATGGTTATATCTTTGGTGGGTTTGCATCTCACTCCTGGGAGGTGAAGCCACAGTTTCAAGGTAAAACTCACTTTTCTTTTTCTAGTATCTCATGGCTCTGGTAAACATTGCCTATTCTGTACAGGTACAAGAATGCTGTCCACTTAATGGATACTGTCATTTTACTTTCATGACATGCAGTATTTCTTATACTTCTAAGTGTATTTTCCTGTGGCAAAAATAACACTAATTTTTGAAAAATATAGAATACATGCTAAGTTATTGCTGCTTTGTACCCTGTCAGGCATATTACTGATTAATGTTTCCAGCTTGTCTGTTATTTGATCAGACTTTTAAGATTGCGGGACTTGCTGATCATGGAACAAGTTTTCTTTTCAGCGAAGTCTATCAACCCCTGTAGCTGCATGGGTTGAAAATGAAGGAAATGCAGCATAGATGATGAATTAGAGTTTAAATAAGATGTCCAGCAGATGGCAATCTTCCATCTTAGAACAGCTGAGCCCAACACCAGGTTAAGCCTCTTGTTGCCATTTGTGCACTGTCTGTCTTTGTTTCCCTTTTAAAATCCAGCAGCAAAAGGGTCCTTTGGGCAAGCTAAACTTTTTGTTTCCTTGAAACCTCTGGGGAGAATAGAGGGGCTTTTGTTAACTCTTTGGAAAGAACTCTTGTGATGGCTTTCTGAAAAAAAATTAGGGACTCCGAATAATCTGTCTTGCTGGGAATCCACACTTTTGCTACATTAAAAACTGAATTCCTATACTTAATTAGTATTTGATAATTACCACTTCAGTCAGTTAATATAATGTTATGTTACACTGATTACACAACACTCTCCTTGTGTTTTTTCCTGATGGAATAACACGTGTAGCATACTAGACAATCACACCACAGGTCCCTCTGAACAACAAACTGGGCATAATGAAAACTGTACTCTAAGTCATTGACCCTAAATAATCTATATATCAATATAGTCAGAACTAAGGGTGTCTGCACCCTGAAGGATAAGGGTCTAGCAGTTTGCCAGTTTTAGATGTTACAATACAAGCCTGTGACAGGTGTACCCTTACATAGTAATGTAATGCACTAGTCATGCCTCTGACTCTGCCCTTGGTCACAGCCATATAATCACATTGATTTCTGTGACCCTGCACAGAGTTAACTGAGAATAAACAATAGGTCTAGATCTTGATGAGAGATAGGTATTGGCTTTCTGAGATTGCAGCTGCTATCTTTGATTTCTTCAGCTGCACTTCTTCAATATTTTTTTCCTAGCCTATTTGTAGGCAAGTTACTACTTGGCCAGTTGTCTGACCTCAGATGCTTTTCTGTTTACAGGTGACAACAGATGCTTTCTGTTTTCTGTTTTCCCTTCTCTTGCTGTATACACATACACAGGGTATAATGACCACTACATGTATTTGAACCATGGCCAACAAACAATGCCAAATGGACTTGTAAGTATTAAGAAATGACAATTTGGAAACTGGATTCGTGATTCGTGGCTGGTGTTTGGAAGTGTTTTGTGTTTTTTGCTTCTGTTACTGTGAGCAGATTTATTTCACTTGTTATTCTCTGAGGAAATTTTCATCCATTCTCCGTGCTGTTTGTGCCATACTTTTAGTAGGAGGATTTTTTTCTTTTTTTTGTGTTCAAGCATCAGTGTAAAGTGTGAACTATGGAGAACCGCTTACAGTCCTGACAGAGTCTATACTTTTCAGTTCATATGTACATTGAAATACTGAATCAACTAAGATGGAATTTATTTGTGTCTGACCCAAGTAGGTGGTCTTGATGCAGGCTAGATTTATGGAGGTTCTGGGAAGAAATCTTTTTGCCAAGTTTGGTTATCACAGAAGTCCTTCTGGCAGTCCTCCCTGTTGCCTGGAAGAATTGACTGCATGTATCCACATCACTGAAGCAGCACAAGCTAGCTGATCTATGTAATTGAGGATCTTTCCACAGGCTGTTCTCACTGCCACACTAACTGCTTTTTAAATAATGGGAGGCTGAGAAAGCCCAACAGAATTAGAGTACAAGATTTGCATGTAGGCTGCTGCTGTTGTGTAATTACAATGGCAGAAGCTCCTTTTACTCAAGTCCACGAATGAGCTCTTTGGATGCAGAGGAGTTTCTACAGAGCTACAAACATCGCCTATTTTGAAAAGCACTTCACAGTTTTGTGGCATTATGTGCCCATAACTTTAGGAATTGCAGCAGTCTGGAGTAAATTTGCTCTAAAGAAAGTAAACAACATCAAATTACATTGTTTCTGTAGATACTTTTCTAAATGGAAAAGAGCAAAACCAAGCACTTTCACTGTGTTTGAAATGGAACTCTTAGTCAATAAACAAAAGCCAATGAGCTAAATTTCTGGCACAAGACGTAGCTGACGTGTTTGCAGATACTGGTATTCTGTAGAGTGTAGAGGGAAGGCAGTATCACTCAGGTAAATTCTTGTTTGTCTTCAGGGATACTGGATTTTGGTACAGAAGCCCAGGTTCACTTGGAATACTCTTTTTCACCTTATCCATAGAAGTGTGGCATAAATACTGAAAATTGCAATTTATACTTTAGGTTTCATAACTTGCCCAGTCTGTTTTACATGTATAGCAAGTGCTTAGTGTGCTGCTTTGTTTCACAGGGTATGGGTGGACAACATGGGTACTTTGGACTCTGGATAGACAGTGACTATGGGAAGGGACACAGTAAAGCAAAACCTCGATGTACCACCTACAACAGTCCCCAACTGTCAGCAAAAGAGGATTTTACACTGGATGCCGTGGAAGTCTGGGCAGTGGGAGACCTCCCTGAAAGTGCAGGGGTAGGTGAACAGAATTGAAACCTGTGAAATTGTGTCCTGATTGAACAGGAGATGCAAATGCAAAATTTGGCAGTTGCAGTTTTCTGATTAAACACTGTCTCTCCATTGTAATGAATAATGTTTTCTTTAACTGGCCCTGTGATGCCATATATTTTGTAGCACGTAAATGGCAAAACAGTAGTGGAATTATTGAAGGTGCCAACAAGAAATAACATCAGGAGCCATGAAATGGTAGAGTTGAAAGAGCTGTACTTTATTCTGAATTTCAAAAGGCCTTTCTGATACTGAGGAATGGTTTCCAGGAGGAACCTCCTTGGAGGGGTTCATTAAAACCCAGTGTTTGTAAAACAGAAAGCAAGCACTAGAAGCTCACAAGTAAAGCCTAATCTATAGTTCAGGAAGAGAATGCAAAAGATTTCTTTATCCATAACTTTAAATTTGCTATTGTTTTACAATAAATTTATGCGAATAGATTTATCCTAGTCGTTCTCCACCTGATTTATTTCTGGGAGTGAGTAGCAGACCTCTTTCCAGTCTCCTCTGCCCCTGTAATTTAGTCTCTTATTAAACTGTCTGAACAATTTGGTGTTGTTTTCCTTAAATTTCATTTCTTTCATACTAAATTCATGTGCCCTGTCTGTTCACTGGACACATAAATAGAAACAGAACAAATTATTTACAAAAAACATTGAATCGTACTTTAATCTCTTTAAAAAAAGAGTTCACATCTGCACTTCAGACTGAGGTCAGGTTAACCGGGATGTTCTGGCTGGCTTGTGACCTGAACAAATTTGAAATAGCGTACTGTCATCTTAGGAAAAGTTTATGACTATTTTGTGTAACTGCAGCAATAAAAATAACTTGATGTGTCCCACTGAATCCTAAATGCCTTGCTTGGAAAATATGTATGCTTCCTTGTGACAAGCTTGCAAACCAGATTACTTCTGGACTTTTGAGTATGTCTTTTTCTTGTAGCCTGATAGTGATTCATTCATAATGACATTTTAAACTGATTATATTTTATTGTGTTTTGAAGACAAAAGGTAAGAAGAGTATCCTGGATGTAGATCCTGAGGCTCAAGCCTTTTTGGAAATGGCTGGAAAAAGTCGTCAGAGCGAAGGTCTACGAGAACCCGTTGAAGAGGAGGAGGAGGATGATGATTAAAACAACACAGTAACATGAAAGACCTTTTTTGCTCCTGAATGTTAATGTTCTTTGGACAGGATATTTTTTCCTCATTTTTTTTTCCTTACATTTACCTAATTATCTGTGATGAAGCTTAAGCCTCGTACTTATGCAATATTTAGATCCAATACAATATACTGCCTGAAGGGTCTTGTTTGGGAGAACAGAAAAATTAACTAGGTACTTAATCATTAGACATCTCCACGTTCTAGCTCAATATGAATTTGCTAGCACTGCTGATAGATCCTGTCTGCATACAGAATTAAAAACAAAAGTAGTAGTTGCTGACAGTACTGCTTAGTGTCTTGGAGAGTTGATATGTATTTATATTAAGACCGTTCAAGACATTAAGGCTCTTATACCTCAACTGTACCTCTTTCTTTGCATGCAATGAAATTAGTCAGCGAAGCTTGCAAATTGTAATGATGTCTTACATTGGTAAACATAGTCTACGTGATTTCATATGAAGGATGCTATTAATTTGCATTGCTCCAGTTAAAGCATTAAATTCCATGTTTTGTAAGTCAGATTTTCAGCAAGTGACTCTATATGGGCTGTAAGATGTACAGAATGCAAAGTATATGGTATCCAGTTTTATAATACTGCACCTTAGTGCATTTCACTTAAGATCTTTCTGTGTTGATTTGCCTATTGCTTTTTAAACTTAGTGGAACAGTCATTGGGATTCATTCAGCCATATTTATCCTAAGAATGGGCCATACCTCCAGCAGAAATGCTCCAGGGAAAATACCTTCTTTAGTAACCTCACTTGAGGCTGGAGTAAAAGATCAGGCTGTAAAAAAGATTAAGAAGCTTGCACAGTTAATTGGGAATAGTATCTGCAGATACATTATTAAAAAAATAAATAAATATTTTAAAATCAGGGTTATGTCTGTAACATGTTTAAAGAAGACTGCTGTATACTTTTTTACTAATACTAATTAATGATAATTAATCATTACTGTATTATGGAAAAAAATGCAATGTGAAATGGAACAAGTGGGTTGGGGTTTTTGCTCTGTTTTGTTGGCTGTTCATCAGTCAATGCCAGTTTTGTCAGGTCTCTCACACTCAGGGCTTTTTCTACTTGAATCCAATCACATCTATCAGTAACTATTAGTTTGACCTTGCTAAATTCTATGTGTAATTAACTTGTCAAAAATAACTCTAATTTCTACCAGGGACTGTTATTTTTAACTCAGCAGATTACATTTAGTTATTTCCTAAGGAAAAGGACTGTATCAAAGCCCCCTTGTCCTAGCATGAGTTCGTCTTCTGTGCAACTTAGAGCAAAAAATGTGCTGTAAGAGTCTATAAAATTACTGTGATTCCTGATCATGTGACCTTCCCTCAAATTATTTCCCTTTGTATCTTCTTGTATGTGTTTTTTTTCTTCACCTGTTGTTTTTCACAGGGAGCCAGATTTTAATATTCTGAATAATCTGTACTTGTGCCTTAATGTAGATCCCATTTTTAAAAGTTTCATTAAACAATATTAAATTTAGCCTTTGAAAGGAGAGCATGAAGAAATCACTGCAGCCAGACATCCTAGAACTCAGCTGTGCATTTTGTATGCTACCTGAACTAATGATTGGGCATATATGCTACCTGTTCCAGTACAGAGTATGCTGTGAAAGGCCTGAGCTTTTTTATCTTGTATTTGCTTAAATAAACCAGATAGTCTCCCGAGTTTGTAACACACAGAAAAAAAAAAAATGTAAGCATTAAAACAGTTACACTGATACTGTTGTATAGTTTTCTTCTCTGTATATTTTAATGAGGATTTTAAATAGTACAAAGTAGGGAGTGCTGTATAGGTGGCAAGTAAGTACATGGTGCTTTCTGTAAGTGTGGTGATGCTGGCTTTTGTTTTAACATTCTCAAACACCCACCATATGTCTCTAAGGTATTCTTCACTTAGTGCCTAAGCATACTAAATACTTGAAGTGGATGGCATACAGGAATGAGATAGTTGAATTTCCGCAGTTATACATAAAAGAAACAACTAGACTTACTTTTCCTTCTGTTACAAGGCAGATACTTTTCTTTGAGAACTGAAATTATTTGTGAGGGTTTAAAAAAAAAATAAATTGTGAGCAGACACTATCTGGGGAGGGTGAATTGCACAAAGCTACTTTTCACCAAAAATATTTCAGTGGCCAGGTTTTCTTTGAGTTTAAGTATCAGTATAGCTGGTTCTTTCTAGGCTATGAATCCAAAATGTAATCATGTTTAAACATCATCTTGTGAAGATTGGCATAGCGTTTTGACCTCTGAAATTGTGATTTTTGACAAGTTTGTATCCGAGACTCTTCATCTTCACTTTGAAGTGAAGGTGTTAACCTGAGACAAGAAGAAAACTGACACTATGGCACTTCTGGCAAATGTATCAGTGAAATGTTATTTACTAGGACACTGCTGATTCAACCAGCAGATGGGATTATTCAAAATTGTTCTTTAAATGTAAAAGATTGGCTTGGAAGACACTCAAAAAAATTTTTTTCCTGAACCTAATGATTAAGCAATCTGTGCTTTTGAGTTCATGCATCTAAAAATGTCCAGAAAGTGTTTGTCAGCAGTGGGCTTAGCTACGATCTAAACATCTCTCAATCACTTTTATGCAGCTGTTGATCCAACTGCAAAGCTTAACACCCCTGCTATGTACATGAGTCATCTTTATTCTCATGTGCTTGTGAAAGTGAGTCCCTTCGCGATTAAATCCAACCACTACTGTGCATCAAATCAAATCAGCCTTCTGCTTTGCTCCTATTAGTCACATAGGTACAAAAAAAAAAATTAAAAAAAAAAAATCACAGCAGTGTTCAGCAACAGCTGACAGCCGAGGGTTGGCACTTCAGCTCTCTACTCTGTTTGCCATCTCCCCACAGGTTCCTTGAGAGTCTTGCTGAATCAAGGCTAGATATCTGGGAATCCAGAAACACTATAGATTGACTACAGGAAAAGAAGTGCTTCTGAAGGCAGGTCTTTTCCATTCTTCTAATTTAATGTAAAAGGACAGGTCTAAATCAAGAGTCTCATTCAGATACTTGTCAGTAACATTTTAAAATGTAGATTTTATTATATGAAAATCATTTTGATTTAAATAAATAAAGTTTCAGTTTATGCACAATAGATTTTTCTGTACAGGGGTGAAACTCTGTTGTTTTTGTCTGGGACTGTCACAGCATTCTTGACATATAGATAAACGTTATAAAAATATACCTGATCTTGGTTTAAAACTGGAGCTGCTCCAGAGGTTTCTGTAGACAGTTCAAACAGCGTAGGTAGAGCGTGTAGAAGGAACAGACTCTGGCGTAAGAAGGACTGTCAGTACAGATTCACTTGAGTATCTTCAGAAAGGACGTGTGGTGTCAGAAAACGGTACATTTGAATTATCCAGCATCACAGCTCCATTCCAAGTATATCTTTAGAGGAAGTTTGCATCAGTTATGACACCCCTTTGTATGCTTTGGTCGGCAGCAGCGTTTTTCACAGAGTTTGATGAACTCGGACACAACAAAAACTGAGGAAGCCAGTCCGGTGAGAAACAGCAGGTCTGCCAAGAGGAAACAGAGCAGAGATGAGCAGAGCCGACAGCTGGATGTTGTTGGGCAGGAATCCCCAGTTGAGGGCCTTCCTGCAGTAGCTATTTGTGCTGGTGTAACTCCATAGATTATGTCCACAACTAGCAAGAGCATAGCTAGGCATTAGAGAAATGACTGCGGTAGGCAAGGAATAGCCATAGTTGGCATAGTCCACTTGGTGGTTAGAAGCCTCTATGATATTCATTTGGGATCACTGAACCCTGCTTCTAGCACCGTGCCTAATGTAGGTGCGATACAACGTATTATGGTAGAGTTTGCTTAGACTGATTCAAAAGGTAAAAATACGCATTGCATTTCAGCTAGGAAAGAGTCACCCTGCCTTTTCAAAATGGAGTAACTGCATAATGATCCTAGGTAGATTTATGTAGAGAAGTATCATCATATGGAGCTCGTGGAAAATCTTGGCATGTCTCCATTTACATGCATTTATGTGCAGTAAATCAAGATTCAAAACCTAGGCTGGGATAATGGCATTAAATACTACTACTATTGGTGTATAGCTATGTGTAGGTATATAGGTATAGGAGCTGTTGATTGATTTCTCCTTCCAGCAATCTGTTGGGAGCTATCATGTAACAATTTGGCAATCACATCTGCTTTTTAAAGTAGCTTTAATGAAAAAACCACATTATTTTGCAACTTAACTTACCTAGCACTCCTAAATTCTCTGTCTGGAAGACCTTTTGTAATGGAGGGATGTATATAACAGCCAGCTGTCCCAAAAATGACCCAAGCACAGAATACAAGAACATGCGGTTTCGAAAAAAGCCTATTTCAAGTATCAGCTTTGTCTAGAGAAGAGGGGGGGAAAAAAAAAAGAAATGTAACATTTCCCAATTCCCTGTTGGGACTTGAATGTCACACTGTTTCTTTGCATGTAAACTCCATTACTTTTTGAAGTTATATGAATGTTAATTTAGGGAGGGCTATGTAGTTGAAAGTATAGTTGCAGTTGAACTATGATGGATAACTTTATTTACAAAGATGATAAAAATCATGCTGCTTTAAGTGACATTAAAAAACCCCTTCCTATGCAAAATACCAGTATTCTAATGTTTGTGTTAGTGTTTTGAGACAAATTATTGCTGACAGAGCAATCTCACCTGAGAGCGGCATGTTAGGGCATTGAAGAGGTCAAAAAACACGAAACAGGTAAAAGTCATTGTTGTGGTTCGAGGTGTTATACCACTTTTTGGATTCTGAAAGCACATGTGAAAATTCAGGGGTTAGTTAAGCCTTACAAAAATACGTCAAATCAATAGATGAATTAAATATACCCTTTAATGATTCCAGTCAAATCAAAGGGTAGTAAAACAAAGGAATAAATCTAGTTCTAGCTACTTTAGGTAGCATTAATTTCTCGCTGCTAATTGT